TTCAAGTTTTTACAAAAGTCTCGTAACATGTAAGCTATAAGATACCTTGCATGTTCTTTCTGAGGTTATTATTTCTTTTTTTATTTCAAGTACTAGTTAAACTATGATTAGAACAAATGAAGTACAACTGTTAAAAATGTTGTGATCGATTTGATCTGTAGTTTTATCTATTTCGAGTTCAAATTTACTCCTTTTATTTTTATTCTTTTGGTTGCTAGAGAGTACAAGCAACGTTTTTGTATTTTAAAAGGAATTTTGACAATGAATTTTGACCATAGGCAATGATTTCTGGAATTTCGAAATTTAGAGTGGTTCCTTTATAAAGGTTTCATTTTCACTTCTGCCAAATTATTTTGTCTGTGTATTTAAAAAAACACCACACATTTGGACATATTGAGATAAAGCAGCATCAGTGAGCATACATCTCAAAGCACCAAGTTATGAAATTAAAAAAATAATTCTAATAAAATAAACAAATAAATAAAAAAAAAACTTATATTCACTAGAAAGGAAAAAAAAACGTAGAAAACAAAATAAAACTTCTGAAACACATCGGAATTTTTATTAATAGGTGGATTCCTAAATGATATTCCCAATACAGTTGACTTAACACTCAGTTTGTTTCTCATTTGAATTCGATCCATCTTTTGGTATTGCAGCAGCTGTGTCAATATAAAGAGCACTGTAGTCGATATAATCAACTGGGAATAACATATTCACAGACTACTAAAAAATTTCTCAAAAAAAGAAAATGGCACAACCCATTAACATTCAGAAATTTGGACTGCTTATGGAAAAATCGGCCGTCTAGTCCATCATTTCATTCTGTCATCAGGCAGACAATCGTAAAGCCTCTATCGGCCACTATCAGCGCTTTGAAGTTTGAACAGGTGCGTTTCTTGACGATAGGGAAAGCATGCATCCATAAAACAATTCGTTGCATGCATATCATTAAAAGATGAAAAGGCTTGAGAGTGACTTAGATTAATGTTTCTAAGCCACTGTCAAGCCTTTTCAACTTCACTGTGCCTAGAGCTGAGTCGCCCTTATATAGTTTGGGAATGATGAGGGTGAGAAAAATCTGAGCTGTGTGACGGTCTACGGTCATATGAGACAGGGACCTACGGCTTAAAGTGGATTCCGAACCCCTACATACATAAATGGCACGACCGGAATTCGAACCCTGCGGTACATACAGCCAGAGCGCTAGCTACTCGGCCATCAGGCTCTGATAATAAGTAAAGTGATTTGATGAAATCTAAAAAAAAAAAAAAAAAATTACTGGAAGTGGAAAAAAAAAAATCATAAAAATGCCAAATAAAATTTCTAAAATACAATTTTTGTTAATAGGTGGACGCCTAAATGATATTCCCAATTCAATTAACACTCATTTTCTTTCTTATTTGGACTCAATCTATCTTTTGGTATTACAGCAGCTGTGTCAATATGAAGAACATTGTAGTCGAAATAATCAACTACTCTGAACAGGGAGGGTATAACGTATTCACAGACCACTAAAAAGTTACTTCTCAGAAAAGTAAATTGCACGATCCATTAACTCTCATAAATCTGGACTGTTTAATGAAAAATCGGCCGTCTAATCCATTATATCATGCTGTCATGAAGCAGACAATCGTAAAGTCTCCATCGGTCACTATCAGTTTGAACAGGTGCGATTCTTGGACGATAGGGAAAGCATGCATGCATAAAACAGCTCGTTGCATGTGTATCAATCATTAAAAGATGAAAAGGCTTGACAGTTACTTAGAAGCATTAAATTCATATCTACTGTTTTCACAGAGAGTAAAAATGCCAATCGTGTTTCATGATACAGAGAACACTGTTATTTTTTAATAAGAGAATTTATACGAGTCATTTCAATTGTAAGTTGTTATGCTAATGCCTTCACATATTTAAAACTTTCCGGTGATAGTTTGCTTTTGAGTCAACTGAAATATTCTGGTAAAACTAAAAAATTTATGGTAATATAAACCATTAGATGCATTATTATAAATTTTTTTTCTTCTTCTAATGCAGCTGGCAAATAGACCGTGATCTTCGCCATAAGGGCTGCACCAATGTTACTCACTTCGCACTACCCAGGGGGCGCGTGTAACTTGATGGTAAGCCACGGACGCGGAGTCACAATGCCCCCGCAGCGCTCTACGATCCTACTAGGACCGGGACCTACGGTTTAAAGTGGATTCCGAACAACTACAACACCCATGGGCAAAGCCGGGATTTGAACCCAATACCTGTGGTACCGAACGCCAGAGCGCTAGCCATTCGGCCATCAGGCCCGTTATTATAAATATGGAAAAAAATTATCTCTATGTCTAACGACATCATATGAATAATTTCATTTGAAAGTTGTTATGCTAATGCCTTCAGATATTTAAAATTTTCTGATTTTAGTTAGCATTTGAATCAATTGAAATATACTACTGTGCCTAGAGCTGAGTTGCTTCTTTATAGTTTGGGAATGATGTAGGTGAGAAGTCTGACTGGGCTCTGTGATGCTCTACGGTCATATGAGACCAGGATCTACAGCTTAAAGTGGATTCCGAACCACTACAAACACCCATGGCACCGCCGGAATTCGAACCCGACACCTATATTGAAATTTGTACAGAGTACGGTGCATTTGTACCGAGCTCCAGAGCACTAGCCACTGGGTCATTAGGCCCCAATTAAAATAAACTGGCAAAACCAAGCAATTTATAAGAATATAAACCATTAGATGCATAACTATAAACACGAAAAAAATTATATCTATGTCTAACGCCTTCATACGTATAATTTCATTTGAAATTTTTTTTTTATGCTGAGACATTCAGATATTTAAAGCTTTCTGGTTTTAATTTGCACTTGAATCAATTGAAATATCCCGGCAAAAATACACAATTTATGAGAATAATATAAACCATTAGATATGTTATTATAAATATGGCAAAAAATGATATCTATGTTTAACGCTATCAAAATTCATTTTGGACATATACTATTTTAAAAAAAAAAGAAAGGGCTAATATAAAATCATATTATGAAAGAAACCATATTGTATTAAATAGGTATGGTGATTAAAGTACAAATTTCTAAAGAATTAAAATTATAAGCGGGATTTCAATAGCGATAGGAATAAATGTAATAACTCTAGATCTTGATGAAGAAGCAATTGTTCAAAGTCAAAAAAGAATATATATATATATTAAAAGAAACCCGCTTGCAATTTGATAGATCAGGCAAAGATTTTACACAACTGACAAAACTAAAATTTCAATAACTCAAGAAATTTATGAAGTAAATGGTCAGAATACTACAAGAACGGTTCTGAACGGAACGAAGTTCTCTACTTTAGGGTTCCCTTGTTTATTTGGCGATTTTATCCCCTCGCGGTTTTTACCTAGTCCCTTTCTAAACAAACAAAATGGCCGCTGATGCTACAAAATACTGCAGTTTTGGTGATTCCATTTGACGCGAAAAAGAGACTTGACGAAATCGCAACCTTAAAGTGCAGAATCCCCACAAGAACTGTCAAATTCAAGGGCCTGAATGGCCGAGCGGCTAGCGCTCTGGCGCTCGGTACCACAGGTATAGGGTTCGAATCCCGGCGGTGCCATGGGTGTTTGTAGTGGTTCGGAATCCACTTTAAAACCGTAGGTCCCGGTCTAATAGGATCGTAGAGCGTTGCGGGGGCATTGTTACCGCGTCCGTGGCTTATCTTCAAGCTACACGCCCCCTGGGTAATGCAAAGTGAGTAACGTCTGTGCAGCGCTTGCCTTAAGGCATCCAAGACCAAGCTGTCTAAGTGTTTGCTAGCTGCATTAGAAAAAAAAAACTATCAAATTCAATAGCGACAGGAATGTAACAAAATTTAATAACTCTAGAACGTTATGAAGAAATTGTTCAAACACTACACGAAACACTACTCAATTCAGACAGATAAGAGATGGCTCAATTAACTTTACAAACAGAAAACTAACCCTCAGACACTAATTTGACGATGAACTTTAATCTATTTATATTTTGAAAGCCGGACAACTCAAAATGAATAACAGAGTACTTGACTTAATATGGGTTATGTTTAGCAATACATATTCCATGCCAGTTTTAAAACACACATAAATAAAATCAAGTGAAAATCAGCGTCTAGTTTGAATAAAAGTTTTGAAATGAAAGTTTTCGTGTAGCGCGAGGAGATTAACCTGTTTCAAATAATAACTTATACTCTATTTTTTTTTATTTTATAGCTTTACTTTTATGGCGTTCACTTTTTGGAGACACCACGGACCTCTAACCTGGACATCATGTCACAGAAGATAAAAACATAAATGAAACAAAATGTTATTTTTACTAAAAAGTAATCATCATCATTGGCGCAAGTCCCATGGTGGGCCAATGCCGTCTGCCTACTAACAGTTTAAAGACGAAAGATGTTTATTTTTATGGGGAAGGATTGTCAGCTCGACGACAAACTCTGTAACCCATATTAGACCGGGACTTACGGCTTAAAGTGGATTACGAACCATTACAAACATCCATGACACCGCCGAGTCTCGAAACGAAACCTGTGGCATCGAGATCCATAGCACTAGTCACTCAGCCAACCGGCCCTGCACTCATATATTGCCCCCAAAAATTCTAGCATCTGGTAGCCTGTTCCCTATTCTTGGTCGAACCCAAGAATAAGATTTACCGATCAATTGATTTATTAATCCTGTTGTTGTTGTTGTTGTTTCTTATACCACTTGGCTGGCCAAGCCCACGAGCCCATACGTACTCATGATTGAAGGGGAAAGAAGCAGCTTCTGTTGTGATGGAGCACCCGTAAGTAGAAGTCTGACTTTGACGCTCTTACAGTCATAGGAGACCGGGACCTACGGATTAAAGTGGATTCCGAACCACTACAAACATCCATGGCACCGCCGGGATTCGAACCCGAAACCTGTGGCACCGAGCGCCAAACACTCGGCCATTCAGGTCCCAAATTTGTGAATGCCAACGGCACGCGGTGTTCCCAGTGGGTCACCCACCCAAGTACTGACCGCGCCCAATGATGCTTGACTTCGGTGATCTAACGAGAACCGGTATATTCAGCATGGCATGGCCGTTGGCTCTTTTATTAATCCTACTCTTCCACTGGTTTGGTTTGTCGCTCTATGGTCATCTTATGCACGCGTTAGGCTAATTAGGCCGCGACCTACAGTTTAACGTGGATTCCGAACCACTCACAAACATCCATACCACCGCCAGAATTCGAACATGAAGTCTGCGGTATCCTAGGCTAAAGCGCTAGCCAATTGGCCATCAAGCAGCCAGCGTAGACAGAAAACTTTTCAAAAGAAACGTATTTGATGCAAGTTTATGACACAACTTTTATTATTTATCTCGCCAATATTTAATCAGTTAATTAGTTGCGCAAAATAGAAATCTGTTTGAAATCGGACGATTTAAAGTGGATCCCGAAACCACTACAAACATCAATGGGATCGGCGGGACTCGAACCCTAAACCTGTGGCACTGAGAGCCACAGCGCTACTAAAAGTAATAATACACACGAGCTATGTCCGTTTTTCATATTGTAGTAACTAAAATATTTTATCATTTCCTTTAAATTAAGAACAGTTCTTCGCTAAAGACAAGTAAGTAATGACAAACTGACATTATAAAAATGATTTTTCTCACCCCATCCAACTGCTTCTTAGCACATTCCTTTTGATAAGTGATACAATGGGTATATCCTTTCTCCAATTGTTGCTTCTGCACTGTTAGAATCTTGACAACTGCCATTTCTTGAGCATTCAATAACTCACTATCTATGAAGTCAGTCTGTGAACACACTTTTAGATTCCCTCGTCAGACAATTCCAAAGCACCCCATATCATAGGCAGAGACATGGATCGACTTCTGGAAGTATTGGTTTCCATTTCTCATGCTATGGTCCAAATTCAGTTTAGATGGGAAAATTTTAAAATAAATGAACAATTTTGAACATGCCAATGATAGGACGAGCGAAAAAGACGCCAGTGCTTTCTCAAAGAGATGACAAAGTCTTTGAAATCGAGAGTTAGGAAAGACAGGTCTATGCATATCAGTTTATCAGAAGTAGATTGAAGATGATACTTTTGTAATCGACTTATAAGTTCCATCGCCGCCAATTGATATCTTTAGGTGAGAACGTGACGAAAAACTTTGAGATAAGAAATGTCGAACTCGGAGCGGATCGGCAATTGAATATATTTTTTCATATTTTATTTATTTTTTTCGGTATCTGAAAACTTTTTCAGCCAATAAAAATATATATTATTTTGCTAATATCTTACAAATTTTTTATTTAAGTTATGAAAAATATATTATTAGAAACATGCTGAAGCAATTTCCGTTTAACCTAATTTTATATTAAAATGATGTTGATGAAGAGTATTAGATGCCTATCACTGAATTCCATAAAACGAATTGGAAAAATTCTAATTTATAATTAAGATACATTAATAAACTTGATATTAATGAAAGAAAATCGTTGTTGCGACTAATCCTAAGAGTCCGGCAGCGCGGAACGGAGTATCTAATGGATGGATGGAAAGGGGGCAGCTTCTGTTGTAATGAAGCTCCGTAGGTAGAAGTCTTACTTGGTTTAGTTCAGTTTGTCGTTCTATGGTCCTTTTGCGCACGCTTTAGGATAATTAGAAGGGGACCTACAGTTTAACGTTGGATTCCGAACCACTCACAAACATCCATGCCGCCGGCCAAGATTCGAACCTGAAGCCTGTGATACTAACGGCCAGAATGCTAGCCACCAGGCCTCTGAAGTCTGATTTGGATCCGTGCCATTGAGAGAAAAGGCCAGGCCTTCCTGGAAGACTATTAGGAGGCACATTTGCTTATCATATGGGAGAAAATCCGAAAAACTCCCACCAGGTAATCCAACTAATGACTCAAGAGGCTGAACATCCTAAACGCCATCGAGTTTCCCATTTTTTGAAGTAGTTCCTGCAGCAATGCCGACTGCAGATTGAATCTCAGCTCCAATGCTCACCAGCGACGTATGTTACCAATGAGCCATGAGTCGGGCCAGAGCAAAACTTAAAGATCCCAAAATAAAGTGTAATTTCATGTTTGGAGCTCCAAAATTTGAAATAGCAAAAGTTCATTTTTTTTTTTTTTTCGAAATATTTTCTGTTTTAGGAAAACTAAAGCTTTAAAAAACTTAATTACATTTTCTATTAATGTCATAACTTAGCATCTATTCTCAGTGTACATTCCGTGAAATATTATTAAAATAATCAAATAATCAATAATCGTTACAATGTAGAGATTACTTCAGTAGTTAATAATTAATAACTATTAAAATAATGTATACATTGTAACTCGAGTTTTTTTATTTCTTTCTTAACATACTTTCTTAGAATCGCAGAAAAGAATATTCCACAAATTTTGACTTCAATGTATCAAATTTTTTTCAAGTTCCTCTAGCATTAAAATATCTGTTACATATTTTTTCTCCCAAAAACTTTAAATTAACTTCAGAAATAAAATTATTTGATACGAATAACAATAATGGTCAACACGAGGCATTTAATTATTCATTACATTGTCAATTTGAATAACACTTTTTTGACGGGATACTGCAAATTGAAAGGAAAAAAAACCGAAACTAATTTAACCCGTTAATTTTGATGACACAAGATATTGTTGGAATCTAGACAAGTATTAAAAGCATTTGAATCAGTTAGAGATTCATCATTCATAATCACATTACGTAAATTCTTTACAACTTTTTGTTCAAAATTTTCGTAATACCTTTTAAATAATGTTATGATACGTTTCGCAAATATGATTCCAGTAAAGGGAATTTGATATCACTTATGAAATCAAAATAAATATTTTCGAAAAGCGAAATATTTTTGATACACAACATTCCTTCGAAAACAATAAAGAGTAAAGGAGCTGAACAAACCTTTGGACACCGGTTTATTACGTTGCAACAACAAAAATACCATTTCGAAGATAAGTTGAACGACAATCTTTTACTTTTTCCAATAGAATTAAATGGTTTTTAAAATAATATTGAAAGCATTTACTATCATATAAAGTTATCGGTAGCATAATGTTTCGTAATATATGAGTGCATTGATAGATTTTTTAAAAAGACATTGGTAAACAAAATAGATCTTCAGAATTTGCACTTGTAGCAATCTTAAGAAAATCATCAAACCTTTATCAATACAATACCATACCTTAAAAAAAATTTTTAAAATAATTAATGTTTTAAATAATAAAAAAAAACATTCAATATAATCACTTTAGAAAAATAAAAATATTGATTTGGTTTGATTTGATTTGATTTGTCGCTCTAAGGTCATCTTGTGCACACTTTGGGCTAATTAGACCAAGATCATACAGTTTAAACGTGGATTCCGAACCGTTACCAAATATCCGTGATATCGCCAGGATTCGAACCTGAAGCCTGTGGTACCAAAGGCCAGAGGACTAGCCAATTGGCAATCAGGATGCACGCCACCCATATGTTGAAGTCTCCGTGGGGCTGAAGGAGGGAAGTGCCTCCGGGTGGACTTTTAGAGGAACTACCCGCGCAGTTGTTTATCGTATGGGAGAAAACCGGGACAACGCCCACCAGGTATTCCGACTCACGAGGCAAGATGCTGAACACCCACCATCGAGGCTACTTGTTTCTGAAACAGTGTCTACAACAAAAAAGAAAATTAGAAAATATAATAATAGCTAGTACCTTTATATCATCATGCCTACCAAATGCCCATCCCATCCAAAAATTCAACAATAGGATGGATCTAATATCTCATATTCCTTCAATACATCATGACTATTTTCAAAAAACTTTTTATACTAATGAAAATTAAAAATGGCCCCTATTAATATAAAGTTGCAATTAGAATAATTAAAATGGCTTTTTTGAAATAAACTACCTTTTAGTTTTTGGGCATATTCAATAAACAATTCATAAAAATATTGTTTTAATTCAATGGAAATCTCATATTTAATATCCCATAAATGTATGATTTTCACATTTTGTTGACCTTGAAAGTCGCGCATAAGTTCATTTGAGGTCATCAAAAATACAAATGTCTTAACTAAAAACGATCACATTATAAACTTAAAAATTTAATATTTATGATTTTTTTAACTAAAATTAAAAGAGCAAAAAAATGTACATTAAAACTTCTAAGGCTATGTACATTAAAACTTTTAATGTATATTTGAAAGAAATTAAAAAAAATAATGATTTATTCTGGCATAACTTTAAGTAAAACTTAAGATATTATTCCGCATTCAAGGTCTGAGATATCAGTCGTTGACCTCCAAACTAAATCTCATAAATTTTAAGGCTGACGGTGAATTTAATAGTTTTCAAGAAGAAAAATATAAATATTTCAGTAGAATGACGACAACGCCCTTATCTGGATAAAAAAATAGTTGCTACAACACTACAAGAACCTCCAATGTTACCAGTTAACTTCAGTCTGGAACATGGTGACCCTTTCAATAATACATATATCCCTAAAGTACCTCTGAGCCATCTTCCAACACCCTATATAAATCGTTTTCGTTCTTCCAATGCAAAATGTTCCAACGCCTGAAAAATCATGACCTATTTTATTACGGTAGCCCCCTCATTATATCGAGCATTTGGATATTTTGCTCACTGTTTAAGTGACAACAGAAGATTTTTTGGTGTTAAATATTAAAAATCTTAATAAAGTGAAAATTTCTTTCTTACAGTCAAATAAATAGAAATTTTAAAAATTCCAAATTATCATTGTTAAAAAAAAGCCGATTTATTACGTTTTAGTTTGCAATTATGTTTTAATTAATAATTTATTATGTTTTAGCTTCATTTATGCAAAAAAGATTCTTGATTCTATAATAGCTTGGATTTAAAAAAAAAAAAAATGTTTTATTCCTATAAATCCATATCAACCATAAATCGTCATATTATAAACATATAATAATCTTTTGTCTTAAAACTTTAACAATTTCTTTCACCATATTTGCTTCGTGTGTGTTATTAATTTCAGAAGCGATTAATATTTTTTTTTTTTTCTTTAATTTATATCATTCAAATCGTTTATTGC